CGTGATAGTCTGAGTAGTTGGGTCACTAAACCAGGTGCCAACTGCACAAATGTGCACCGCTGGGCCTTCAAGAAACGGAAAGATTATAGATACAGAGACTCTGACTCCAAAAAACACAGTCCAGTGGGAAAGACGAAGGAATTAAAATTCTGGACAGAATGAAGCAAGTGCTATAAAAGGGATACAAACCAGGAATCTGTGTGTTGTCCTTGTATATCACTTTTGCAGAGTCCATGCTGTACTTTCTATATCATCACAATTTTAGTAATTGTGCTACCATTTTTTAATGAAAACATCAAATATCTTTCATTAAATGCCAGCTTTTTTAAGGAAATTAATTTTTCCTAGAGTTCTTTTTTAATTAGATATTTATCACAGTCAAGTATCTTGATAACACTCAGATAATTTGGAGTAAGACCCTAAAAATAACTATTTGAGCCTTACTTATAGTCTCTTTGATAACAACAAAAGTGGCAAATGTAAACATACTCTAATTCTTTAATCTTCTGGCCAAGTGTGTGTGTGTGTGTGTGTGTGTGTGTGAGAGAGAGAGAGAGAGAGAGAGAGAGAGAGAGAGAGAGAGAGAGAAGAGAGAAAAAGAGAGGAGAGAGAGAAATCTAACACCCTCTCTAAACTTCACCGAGGCAGGATATCCTAATCTTTAAATTTAAGGCTTATGTGCACTAAATTGTCTGTCATTCCTTTTCTGAGACTCCTATATGTCCCTCAAGATCCAGTTTAAATGTAACCACCCAATTTCCCCAAATACTCTTCTGGGCACCCAAGACACCTGCATTTCTCTAATATAGTGCATTTCACATTGCACTGAACTACTTATAATCCTACCAGGTTTTAAGATATTTGTTGCAGTGTTATGCACTTAGAACATAATAGGTATAAATGTTTGTGAATAAATTAGCAAATGAATGAATGAATGATTAACATATGATACAATAATCTAATTCCACCCCAGAACTAGAATTATTCAGGTTTCCTCAAACCACACACCATGATACACAGCAATATACTTTTTCCTCCTTCCACATTCTAATAGGAAACCAGAATCCTAGATGTACATTATTCTGAAGCAATATCATCCCATTCACTTCTGACCTTTTAAATCCATTCCTATAAACTTGAAAACAAAAGAACTACATAGATAAAAAGAGAAACAATCCAACTTTCAAAATACATTTTAAATTAATTTCTGCTACATTTACACATTCATTTACTTTATATAAGTGTCTGTTATTTCTCCAAATCTCCTCTTTACCTTCTTTAATAATGAGATCAATCTTTTTAAGTTTTCCTCGATATTTAGAAATAAAAACTCCACTTTAATTTACCAAGCTTTACACAACTTCGCAAAGGTGAAAATTCCTTAAGCTACAATTTTTAGTTTAATGTAGAATCATCGCCCATTTCTTTCCTTTCCTTCTCTGAATCTTATCACAATGAAATGAGATATTTGGGTCACTCCTCATTCCCAAGTGTGATGACCACAAGGCCAATGGACAATGTGGTCCTGGGCCATAGAAAAGCATTGCTATCACCCTCTCTCTACCCTTTACCTGCATCAGATACAGACCACAGAAAAAGCAACCTGGCTGCCCAGGGAGTTTTCCTCCCAGCTCTACGTGTAGGAGGGAAAAGAGCTCACTGCACAAACATTTCATGTGCACAGAGAACATCACAGGTCAGACAGACAAGACTCATGAGTGAACCTGAAAAAGCCAAACCATAAATTCTTGAGATGCAGAGTAGGAAGAGACATTCCAGACAGCTAAGTCATGCTTTTTGTTTTATACATCAGAGTGAGGGCCAGCATCTTGCTAGTGGCAGAGACAGAATGAGAGCCCATTCTGTTCCCAGGCTCCCATCACTACACTTTTTTGTCTCTAGGCTCAGCCATATCCCCCTGGGGCTGGACACATTATCACCTTCTGATCCAGCATGGCAATGGAACATAGCAATTCTTCCTTCCAGCAGAGTCCTAAGTACACACTAGCCATACAATAAGGTCCACACCTGTATGTTTAATGAAGCATAAAAAGAATCACAATGGTTCATTCATTTCAATCCAATATTCATAGATTGAGCACCTATCATGTACAAGGGCCATGGCTATGTGTTAGGCAACATTAGTGAATACAGAAATACAATTAACTTCACTGGATATCATATTGTACTTGAGTGACCATGGAAATATAAACAGTGGTACAGGGGCCCAAAGGAAAACACCAGAACTGCTAACCAGAATAACTGGGGTTCAAGTTAGAGGTGTAGTGAAGGTTTTGTAGAAGAGGCAATATTTTCATTGAATCTTAAAGAAAGAATGTTGCTTCATCAGGTAGAGCAGAGAAGATAAAGACATGCCAGAGAAAGGAGTTAACTTAACCACACATACAAATAGAACAGTAAGTGGACAACTCAAAATACATGGGGATAGAGGGCAAGAGATGGGACTGGCACAATATTTGTGATAATATTGATGGCATTGCTAAAGAATGCAGGCACTGGCATTTTAAAAGCGAGCATTGGTCTGAGCTGAGAAGGACATTCATTTCTGGGTTTTGGAGGTAATTCTCCCATTCCTGTGGAGAATGAATTGGAGATGAGAGAGGCAGGATGCACAGAAGCCATTTAAGATACTTTTCCACAAAGGAAACACTGTATGGAAATGTGTTCCTTTTCACACTTTTCCTCCAAGCCTGGAGACACACATGAGAAGGTATGCATTTCTCAAACACAGAAGGAAGAAGAGCTTTTTTTTAGCTTTTCTGGGATTGTCCCCTTTGCTGTGATAAGGATTGTCAACTAGTCCTATGGCTGTGGGGTAGTGGAGGTGAGAAGTCCACTCTTAGCCCTGCTCAGGGGCTCTCTCTAAACAAAGCAGTTGGAAGTCACAGAAAACTTACTACAATGGGATTCTCCAACTTCCTGCCTCTGGCCACCTTTTCACATACTCCTGTCACTGGTGTTCACTGAGGCTGGAGCCCTCACTCTGTCTCCAGTCTGTGCTACAGAGGGAGCCACACAGGCAGGAGGGCAGCTGAATGACAGGAGAGGAGGCCATCCAAAGAATCCAGAAGGAGAGACAAGGCTGAGCCCAGACAACAAACGGGAGGCTCCTGTGCTGAACACGAAGTTCCATCTGCTCCTTGTCAAACAGCAAACCGCAGGGGCTGTCACACAGCCATTTCATCTAAAAGATGAGTCATCTCTCTAAGGGGCAGGGGCTGTGATGGGGTATGCAAGGTGGTCCCCAGAGCAGGGGACAAATAGCCCAGCCTCTATTTGTGTTGACTCAGTCACTGCATCCTTGAAAAATGTTTACCTTAATTCATGTTTTATAAACTAATACTTATGAACTATATCTTATAAATACAACCTATAATAATAAAAGCGTAATATGCTAATTAGACCGGAGAGCCACCACCTTCCGGACGACCTTCTGGACGAAGCGGGAGCAGCCGCCGCGGCTGCGAGGGCCGAGACCCTTACACGAATTTAGTGTATCAGGCCTCTAGTTTTGAAATAATTTAATATGCATTATTGAAATCCATACTCAAAAACATTTTTGGTGGTGGTACATGATTTGAAAAGTTTGGAGATCGTTGTGATAAACCATAGTCTCACACAAAAAGCATTATATGGAGTTCAACTATGACCAACTTAAATCCACATTATATGCCTAAAGGTGAAAAAAAAAATTGAGGGAGGGACAAAAAGGAGAATGTCACTATATAGTTAAAAATTGAAAAATTTCCTTACATCTTATGTCTTCATACTGAAAGTATTAACAAAAATAATTTCGGAAATAAATAACTTTATCAAAACCAATAGCTGTGTTTAAAAAGCTAATCTCAATCCTATGCTTAAAAACATTTAGCCCTAGCTGGTTTGGCTCAGTGTCAGCCTGTGGCCTGAAGGGTTCCAGGTTCAATTCCGGTCAAGGGCACGAAAAATAAATTAATTAATTAAAATAAAACCATTTCAAAAAAATCTATTCTCTCAAGGAAGCACTTTTTTAAAAAAGATTTAACTATCTAACAAAATCAACCAATCCTGATTCAAATTTTACAAAGGCAGGTAAAACACACAAGTGTCACTAAAAATGGTGTATGCTATATTCAAATTACATAATACATAACTTATTGTCATCTGAAGTTTTAGAGTGAAAATTGGATACTATTTCCAACCCTAGTACACATATACACAAACACATTTACTAGTATGTGGCTAGGAAAGAAGCAATCTATAGAAAATGTCTCCTGATTCTACATATATGCCCTTCATTCCTGTTACAAGGGACTCCAGAACTTCTCCCATCCTCAGCTGTTAGTTTTCAACTTTTTGTAAATTCTAATCCAGGTTCTCATATGGCAGAGAATGGATTAAATTCCCATGTGACCACCAATAATGGCAGGTACCATAAATACTTCCCTGCCTCCCCCAAGCAGCTCACAGCCAATGAAGATTAGAAATGAGGAATAAAAAAAAACAAAATTCAATACTTGCAAATTATTATATTTATATTCTTACTCACATACAAGAATATCTGACAATAATTTCCATCTCCCTTCTGACTCCATAATGAAGATCTCATGTAGCTCAGAAAAAGGGCTTATATATCCTGCATGATCTATTTTTAGTTTTAATTACAATGCTTAGCAAAGCTTGGGAGAAAATAATTTCAATTCATTTAGAAAATAACTCCCATTCAATACAAGAAGATGAGATTTTTCACATGTAAATTTTATGTATTTGATATGAAAATGGTTTGGCATATGATAAAATATTTTCTTAGAAACTTTGGTCTATTGAAGATCCAGGGATGATATCTATTAATAAAAACAAAATGATTTGCCTCAAAAAAGTGTAAGAGCTCACACTCTCCTTCCCAACAGACTCGGTTTTATCAAGGCTACTATAACCCAGAAAAAGTGCATTCAAGCCAGTGTGAGACAGAAAGGCTGTGAAGTCTTCTCAGTACTTACTGATCCGTACAGCTCCCCCTTCTCATTCATGCCGAGGTAGAGTCCACTGTCCACGCCTCGAATGCTGACAAGGCCCACGGCTATACTGATAAATTCCAGAATGCCTACAAGACAATAGGCAGAAGGTGAAGGGCAGGTCAGAGCACAGAGCACTGCCCTGAGTCTCAGCATCACTAGAAGTTTCAAAGAAGACTGAGGTTAGCTCCCAACTGGGATAATCTCACAGTCATTAAGGAAGTGTCTTTTAGAACCACTGCTGAAGAGAATTGATTTTTATAATAATGATACAAAAATACTTATCAACGTGACACATAACATTTTAAAAATAAAAAGCTAGTATGTACATAGATATGCTGAGAAGTGATGGGACATAAACTAGTGTACATATTCTAATTATCCTAAAATAATTTAATTGGAGAGAAAAACACCCAGTTTTCCTCCCAGATGATAAATGTGAAATTAAACATTTGTGTATGGGCATAGATAAAAAAAATTATATTCAGAGAATGGTCTTATGTCCCTCAAAATAAGAGTATGAGGTGCTAAATTGATTGGTTTATACAGAAAGCTATCCAGCTCTCTACTGTATATAGAGCTACATCTGAAACACTAAAATAGCCTACTCATATCCCAAATATTTCTGCTTAAACAAAGTATCTATTATTGCTATAGTTATCTAAGCCTCATAGGGATACTTAAGCAATTAAGAGAACACAATATTCTGAAAAAAATGCAGATTCCAAAAATACTCTTGATTTTAAATAGTCATGGAATATTATATCCCAAAAACAAATCAACATAATTATCTTTTAGTTCCTTCTTACTGCTTTCTTACCTCACTAAGAATAACAACACCTATGCTGGGCATAAACCCAGGATTTTATGGCTATACAACAACAGCTTCAATGTCTCTAACTATATTGTTGTTTTAATATGATTACCCAACAGGATATTTGGGACAATGCTAATATTACTCATGCTTAACAATTTACTCAATCTATAATAATAAAATTGTAATGTGCTAATTAAACCGGAAAGCCAAACGACCTTCTGGACGAAGCCAGGGCTGCAAGGGCTGAGGCAAGCCGCCGCAGCTGCGAGGGCCAAGCCCCTTGCATGAATTTTGTGCATCACACCTCTAGTTTCATGATAAAGTGCTAGACTTTGTAAAAGCCTTGCATTAATGTATACCAAATATTGGGTTTTCTAAAAAATCTTCAACTATTGAAAAATTTACTTACATCTTAGAATAACATTGGCCTATAGTTATGTGACTGACAAAAAAGAAATTATATGGATTTTTAAATAATTAATTTTCAACTCTCACAAAACAGACTGTGCTACAGTGAAAAGATGACATGACAGCCTGGTGATGTGGCTCAGTGGTTGAGCATTGACCTATGAACCAGGAGGTCATGTCCGGTTTGCAGGCTCGGTCCCCAGTGTGGGGCATGCAGGAGGCAGCCAATCAATGATTCTCTCTCATCATTAATGTTTCTATCTCTTTCACCCTCTCACCTCCTCTCTGAAATCAATAAAAATATATTAAAAAAACAACACAAAGAAGACATGACAAATACATGGTGATGATGGGAGACAAGACTTTGGGTGAGGAGTACACAGTGGAGTATATGGATGATGTTATTATAAATTGTACAGCTAAAAGTTATAGAAAGTTATTAATCAACGTCACCCCAATAAATTTAATTTTAAAACAAAACACATGGAGGAGACAAAATGGCGGTGAAATAGGCAGACGTGTCCCAAGCCTTGTCCCGGAGCAGATATAAGGAGCAACTAAATCGAATAACATCCACCCCGAATTGGCAAAGTAGACACAGCTGGTGAGACAATTCACAGCCGAGAAGGGCAGAGGACACCTGGAGAACAGTAAAATCAGGGATCTGGGCTGGAAAGAATTACGAGACCTCCAAGCCCAGAAGGTCAGAAGGAAGCTGCATGGCACCAAGGCCGTGTCCCTTAGGACAGGCGTAACATCTAACTGTGGAAAGGAAATCCACAGGGCTGCTGGCGACAGGGGATTCTAAATCTAAGCCCACAGCCACGAGTGGCTGAACCCAGAGGCAGCAGCCGGAACAACTGCCCAAGCCGAGCTGTGCTGGGGTCGGGGGAGGAGCTCGCAGTGGCGCAGCTCTTTCCCTTCTGGTCTTTGCTTTTATTCGCTAAACCCAGTTCATAGGACCTTTCAAATACAAACACTCACCCGTGGCTGAGGTGCGGACTTGTGGAGTCTAGGGAGGGGAGCAGCTCGGGGATAGGTGGCCGGGAGTCTGGTACTGAGACATACCTGACAAGCTGGACCTAGGCAGCCATTTTCTCCTGAAGAGATAGCCCCTGCCTGCAGTCTCCAGGCCCCCAATACAGCCACAACCAAACTATACCCTGAGTGCTACAAAGGATACCAAAAAAAAAAATCTGAATAGTACCTGAGAGCCCTCAGGGACTGGCCTGAAGAGAGGCCATTCAGTCCTGGAAAGCCATACGACAACCTCCCCAACTATAGCCCTGTCAGAAACAGCCGCTTGAGAGATTAAGATTAAAAGCAGACAGACAGGCAAAGTGGGCTGATTAATCCCACCTGCTGGCAGTCAAGGCTGTGGAGATAGACACAAACAGAGGAGCAGTGGACCGCTTGGAACTTCAACAATCTAACAGGAAACTGAGAAGTGGCAGACAGTACAGAAAAGTGAGATCTTAAACCAGCCCCCATGGGACATTAAAACTCAGCAGAAAGGAACGACACTCACTTTTTCATTTTTACTAGTATTTTATTTTATTTTCTTATTTTGTTATCTTTCTCTATTTTCTGTATTTCCTTTTTTGTTTCTTTATTTTTATTTCTTCTTGCATTATTTTTTCATCATTCTATTCTATTTTCCTATTTTTTATTTTCATTTTCTTCATTTTATCCTATTTTTAATGAATTTTTTTGTTTTTTTTTCTTCTTTCTCTTTCTTCTTATCCACTCATCCTCTTCCTACTTCCTCTATACTGAACTGAGGTCCTCCCCCTATTCATCCAATTCCTTAACCTTACTTTCTATATATAAGCTCAGCCTCTACAGATTCTGCCCCCCACCCTCTTTTCTGGGTGTTTGATATTTGCATTTTTTTGTTTATCTCTTTGTTCTGTGGTGTTTTCTCCAATACTCACACACACACACACACACTATAGGCCCGGTGCACAAAATTCGTGCAAGGGGGAATGAGGTTCCCTCAGCCTGGACTCCACCCTCTCACAATCTGGGAACCCTTGGGGGATTCCAACTGTCAGTTTAGAATTCCAACTGTCTAAACCGGCAGTCAGACATCCCTCTCGCAATCCGGGACCACTAGCTCCTAACTGCTCGCCTGCCTGCCTTATCACTCCTAACCACTCACCTGCCTGCCTGATCGCCCCTAACCGCCTCAGCCTCTGGCCCCTGCCGCCGTGGCTTCGTCCAAAAGGATGTCCGGAATGATGTCCAGAAAGTCGTTCAGCTGTCCGGTCTTATTAGCATATTACACTTTTATTATTATAGATTTTTTCCCTCTTTCTTCCTTTCTCTTTTTTTTCTTTTCTCTCTTACCATTTTTTCTCTCCTTGATATCATTTGTGCTCTCTTTTCTCTCCCCTAATTCTCTTTTCTCTGGTGGTCACTTATATTGGGGTAATCAGTGTTGTGAGTACATTCTTCTTTTGTTCCCTTTGTGTAGTGTCTTGTCGAGTTGCATTTTTTACTGTTTGGTCGATATGGTAGAGAGCGAGCCACATAACCAGACACCCAGAGAGGAGACTCCATCCACAAACGGGTCAGAAACACTCCAGACCCAAATACAGAGGCAGGAAGATGGCGACAGTGAGGGAGAAAGCATGAGTGAGTGAGGGAGAGAAACAGGAGTGTGTGGACGTGTGGGGCCTGTGTGTGTGCATGTGAGTGAGGGACTATTAGATCCCGCAGGACCTACGGGGGCATGCAGACCGGGCTCGCCTAGCCAGGCAGCCTCTGCTACCATTGCGAACAGTTCCGGGGTGGCTGGCTCTACCACAGAGGCTGCGCCTTCCTGAAGGGGAGAGCTGCTGTGACTGGGAGGCCAGCCTCACCTCCACCCAGGGTACCCTGAGACACCACCCAGGACTCGACAGCCACCTCCGCCAGGGACCAGCTACCTCAGCTGAGGTCCCATGGTCACTGAGACTCCAGCCATACCAGCCATGGGCTCCTGTGAGTTCCAAAGCACGCTCCCCTATGGCCAGCCCAACGCTTTAGCCTAGGGCACCGTGACCACAAGAGCAGCAGCAGTGAGAGCAGACCACCCCCATCCAAGGAGCAGCAGCCCCGCGTGAACCCTGCCCCCATCAGAGAAGCAGCAGCCCCTCAAGCAGTGTGGCCCCATCAGAGGAGCGGCAGTCTTACATGGCCTGCCCTCATCCAAGGAGCAGCAGCCTAGTGAGTAGCCCACCCCCGTCCGAGGAGCAGCAGCCACGCATGCAGCCTGCCACTGTCTGAGGAGCAGCAGCCCCGTGAGAAGCCCACCCCCATCTGAGGACCAGCAGCTGCGCAAGCAGCCGGCGCCCACCCAAGAAGGAGCAGCCCCGCGAGCAGCCCACTGCCATCTGAGGAGCAGCACCCGCACACAACCCGACCCCGTCAGAGAATCAGCAGCCACGTGGAGCCCGCCCCCGTCCGAGGAGCAGCAGACACGCACAGCCTGCCCTGTTCAAGGACCAGCAGCCACATTAGCACCCCACCCCAATCCGAGGAGCAGCAGCTGCACGAGTTGCCCGCCCCCGTCCAAGGAACAGCAGCCTCACAAAGCCAACCCCCATCTGAGGAGCAGCATCCTCGTTTGCAGGCCGCCCCCATCCGAGGAGCAGCAGCTGGGCAAGCAGCACACCCCCACCAGCCAGAGGAGCCACCATTGCTGCGAGTAGCCATGTGAGCAGCACCCAACAGAGGAGCCACCACCAATGGAGGAGCGGCCACTGCCACGACCGCCCGAGGAGCAGCCACGGCCCGAGGAGCTGCTGCCGCCCAAGGAGCAGCCCCCGCACAACTCAACAAATAGATCCTTTGGTGAGAGCAAAATTGAGGAGACAAACA